ACACCAACGATGAGCCCAAAACTAGTTCTGTTCTCTGGCTGCCGTCAGTTGACCTTGGGGCCTAGACCACACTGGGTGATAAAGTCTGGGACCTGGGCTCACAACAAGGTGCAGAGCTGGGCGTCTGTCTCCGTGCCACACTGCCACATACACACAGCATCTCAGGATGGCCTGCCACATCTGTAGGCACACTGCCCAAAGTGACAAACAGCAATACCACAAGGGTCGTGTTTCCCTTGGAAGGCACAGAGTAAACAATTTAAATGACAAGTAGATGATATTTAACATTTTTAACAACAATCTGTTCGTGCTAAAAGCACAGTTAAAGAGTATTCTATGCTAGGCAAAGGTCCAAAATCTGCATGCAATGAGAAGAAACTTCCACCTTCCTCCTACATGGAAGAAAACTGATGTTGGTTTTGAAAATGCCGAGCTGGGGTTCCTCCCTGCCAGTGATCCCCAAGTCAAGCCAGGTGCCTACAGAGGGCCTTCAAAGATAAACCAGAGGTTCCTCCATTGAATTGTTCCCACCCCAGAACAAGGGGTCGGCTTGGGGAGGAGGGGTCTGTGGGCAGGAGAGGGGAGATTAAGGAATTCCCATGAAGTAAATGAATGGGAAGGTTTCTGGAAACGGACATCCTCAAAGATCTGCAGAGATGCAGCTGGGGCCTGGTCTCAGGTGAACCATAACCTCTCCTCTGAACCACGGCTGCCCACGGCCACAGCTTTAATTAGAGCTCCCAGAATGCTATGCTTCTGCCCATCTGTTGGCTGCTTTATCACTGGCAGAGGGGCGGGGGTTCCAGGTTTGTGTCACACTATAACTGAGGCCTGATTAGTACAATACCTCAGGGTTTCCAGGTTTCAAAGTGCCCGGGAAACCCACCGATCTTCCAGCTTGGAATCTTCATCTTAGATGCCTTATCCCCTAAGGTGACTTCCTTACCCCCTAAGGTGACCTCCTGGCAGCCTTAACCGCAAGCGCCCTGAGCTGTGGGATGGTTGCCCCCTTGGGGTATTTGAAATCACTGAACATGACCTCCATGATGGGCAAACAACTCCCAGTATCAAGCTATTTGTGGCTTTTACAAATGGAAGACATCCTATACTTCTGCTATCTATGGAAAAACTTATAAATACATACACTGCTCCACAGACCGATAGCCAGGTGGCACGTGAGTCCCTAAGGTGGATCGACAGAACGGGCACTGTAGAAACACCGCTAAGGCTAACTTCCTGGTAGGAAAGGGGTGCCTCAGAGCCGTGGAGTGAAGAAATCACTATTTCACAAGGAACCGTAGTTTTAGACAGCACGACAAATGAGGAATGCATGAAACTGCAGATAACGCAGGGCATCCACCCGGAAGTAGGAGTCAGCGCCCCATTTCCACTGCTCATTTCCTTAACGACCCCTTGTTTTGCTCACTTGTCTCTTTAGTATGGTTTCTGCTTGAGAAAACTGGGAGCTTTGGGAAACGTTATCATACCACATGCTGTCAAATTTTTTTTTTTTATAGCCAACTCTGATATTCTTTTCTCCTGCTTTTCTGAACTCACGTGTTCTTAATTCTTAATTTAGCCCAAAATGCCAGCGGGTGATCTCCATTGCTCGCCCCACCACACGTCTGATCCCTGGGTCTCTCTGCCTCATACCTTATCTCTGCAGTCATGATTGCCATTTCTTTGAATTTCTGTTCTGTGTTTAATTCGTCTCTCTGGTCTTCACAGAGCAATGATTCAATGCTCAGCAGTGAATATTCTCTTTTGTTTTTCAATTTTTCAACCAGAAGTCATTATATTTTTTTAGTTCTGGAAGGTCACTGATGTGCCCTAATAATAATATCTTCTTGAGGATTCTCTCTTTTTTTTTTTTAAATTAAAGCTCTGCTCTATCTCTTCCATTAGCGCCAATGCAGTCAGAGCCAACTGTACTATTTGTTCAGCTGGGCTCCCTCAAGTCCCCGAGTCCCCTTAAATATGTGGTGACAACAGCACGCTCACAGCTCAGACTTTGGGCAAATGAAACAAGTAGATGGTGGATGAACAGAATGTGTTTTTCCCAGTGCCATCCACTGGGCCCAAGTGCCCCGTCAGGACTCTATTGCTATGGTAATGTGTGATTTGTGTAATGAGATAGAATCAAATCAACTTTTGTTCAGAGAAAATATTTTCTAAACCTGATGCTGTTGCCTCCTTGACCACAGTCACTGTATTCCCAAGAACACTGGTCCCTTGGGATTTACTGTAGGCGCCCCTTAATTAGTCTTCCCTTTTCTACTCTTTTAAGTTCATTCTCCAAGCAGCAACCAGAATTTAGTCATTTTAAAGGTGAATCTGATCGTGCTACCTCCCTGCTCCAAACCCTCAATGATTTCCCATCAAAAGACTGAGAATAAAAATCACGGTCTCTCCATGAAACCACAACACTCTATGATCTGACCCCTGACCATTTGTCCAAATTTGTCTCCTGCTGTTCGTTCAGCCCTGTGCTCCATCCACACTCCCTCTCTTACCCTCTTGCAAACAGTAACCTCATTCTCCCCTCAGGGTTGCCTCTTGTCTTCCCTCTGTGTGGAATGTCCTTCCTCAAGACCTTTGTGTGCCTCGGCTTGCTCCTTCCCAGCGTCCAAAGCTTTGTTCCAGGATTCTGTCCTCAGAGCAATCTCTACATTCTCTAAAACCACATCCCCCCAAAACTCACTCCTCAATTACCTCGTTTTACTTTGTACTCTTTGAGCTATTTTATTTATTTGTTTCATTTATATTTCTCTTTTCCCAGACTGTGAACATCATAAGGAAAAGATTTTGTTTTTCACTGTTCTGTCCCTAGTATTAGAAAAGTGTCTAAGGCTTCGTGGGATTTAATAAATTTTCATCAAATGAGTGAATTAATGAATACCTAGCTTAAACAATCAAGATGCCAGAAGCATACCGCAATGAAGAGACAACTGAATAAGTCCTTAACCTAGTTTGTTTGTTAACAGAGCAAAAAATACAACCACATATTGCTGGAGAGTCCATTTGTATAGCTTTTATCTATGTCCCACCACTTATAATTCAGTAATCAGGCAAAACCTGACTTGTTCAAATTCATTTAGCCAATGCGCATTGAAAAGAGAATTAGCACAGGCTATGATTAAAGCTGCAATGGCAAAAACTAAGTTGTGTTTCTCAATACAAATTATCTAGATTTTCTACAATGAAACGAAGACATGAGCAAGAAAAGAATATGAAAGCGAAAGAAAGGACTCAAAGACAGAGTAGGCTAGTAAGGAGATCAGAGTAAAAAAAACGTTAAGTAGGAAACACTGAGCTAACAAACCTCTAGGAAAAAATAACTTTCTGAATAGTTTAGAGACAGTCTGTCAGTCGAATTTGTCAATGAGCTGTAAATGTGACCAACACATTTGCTCTTTGTCATCAACCCCCTGATGTTTTGTGTAGTTATGTGTACTCCCATCACATGCCAACATGGCACATGGGAACTTCCAACAGTGGGAAATATCCTCGGGTTATTATTTTAGTGGAAATGATAAATTTATACCAATATACCAGCTCACTTGTTAGTGTTTAACTTTGAAACACCTCATTTTTGCCAAGCAGATAGTCCAGGAGCCTTTACTATGACCGAGAGATATACTGAAGATTACCCGTTTTCAAAGGGACTGAACATCTCTCCCTGGCCTCAGGGGCATTCCAAGGAGAGGCAGGGCCGACTCTTGGCTCTGAGACTCCAAAGTCTTGAGCTTGTCACTTAACCTTTTGATTCTAGAGGAGGATAATGACAGCAATACCTATCCTAGACGTTCTGTAAGATTGTTGTGAAAATAAAATAATACATGTCGAAGAAATGTTTTGTAAACTGGCTATTTTAGTTCTTTTTTTCTGCATCTTAGAGGTTACTAAAGTTATTCTCTAAATTGAAGTTGTCATATGTATACCTTTTAAAGTAGGAGGAAAACAGCAAGCACCAAAGTATGTTTAGCCGTGCGGTCTTTACTTCTGCTTGAAATGAACAATGTTCGTGTCTCTTAAAAATGCTGAAATTACAGTAATTAGCAAAAATGCTGCTGCTGTTTCTTTAAACACACAAGAGCACCCTCTCATTAGGAAACTCCCATAGTCTCTTTCCATAACCAAACATTTCCAAATAATCCATCTCCTACCGAGGAGAAAGCTATATTCATGGGAGCTATATTCATCACAGATGCAACAAAATTCTTTACAGCACTCATGGGAGTATATGAGGAGAAAACCAAAATCGGAAGAAAAGTGCACAACATTGTGTGTTGTGTGAAACCTATTTGCCGTAATAACATGGTAATTGCTAAACCTCTGAAATTTAAACCTCCATAGCATCTCTACTTATTGAATTGCCTTGTTTACTTGAGTAAGTCTCCTGTTCACCACTACATATATCCCAAAGCTCTTATTAAATAAGCAGGATCGGAGGCATGATGAACACTTTGATGGAAGACTTTAGTTTCATAAAAATCCTGATCGTGACGATTTAGCTATCAATTATCCAACAGCACACTCAGAAGTCACTTTATAAAAGTGATTAGTTATAAATAAAGAGATCTTAGATTACCGAAAAAATTACCAAACACCAGGAATCCCCTGTCAACAAAGATAACTTCACTCTTTAAGGAAAATAGCACCAGATGATCCCTGAATTCTTCATCTTAACGAAATCCACCCTGTTCTGTCCTTTACATACAAATCCATATTATCTAAAGACATAAAAATGAGATCACGGCTAAATGAATCTGATCATTTTGCCCATCTTCATCACTGAAACCAATCAACATAATCCCTTCAGTCAATTAATTACAGGAAAGTATTCAATCACCCATGGAACCCAAATGAAGCAGCATCAGCTAGCTCTGGCTCAATGACTAGGTCAACTTGATATTTATGGAATAAATGTATCTGCCTTTTCGAAACTGATAATCGAATTCCAGCATCTTGTATGCTCACTGATTGTGTTTTTCTCCTACCTGGTGCTGATTCTTGGCCAGCCATTCCTTAATGGTGCTGAGGGCGATGACTGCAGCAGGCTCGTTTGGAAAACCTAAGTGAAGAACAGAATAAAACAAATTTTTTTTAAAAAGGCAAAGGCGATAGAGAAGTCAATCATGGTGTGATACTGGGTTTTTCTCATTTAAACAGTGTTCATTTCAACCAATTAGTACTGAGCAAGGGAGACCTCAGTAATGTATACACTCTACACTGCATCACAGTATATGAAGCCTGTGATCCTATATACAAGGCATTAAGGGGGCTGGTCCTATGCCCGTCTAGAGCTAAAAGGCAATAAAGGACTAACTGTCTCTTCAGTTGCACGATGTCTATTAAAATGTATTTACGGTTGCTTAATACCTTCCACAACATTTTCATATAATTTTCTCATATGAGGTGTCAGATTAATGTTTATTACCCTCAGTTTACAAATCAAGTAAACATGGGTCAGAGACTACATGTGGCTGAGCCAGGGTCACTCCATCAGTGAGCTGGCACAAGGCACAGCGAACAACCAGTCCCATAGCCATACCACTGAAAGCTATTGTGCAAATTCAAGGAAGGCAATGCCTGTTCCATTTAGAGCCATTGGAAATGACGTTTCACATGAAGACAATATGAAACGACCTGATTTTGTAGTACAGGTTTGGTTTTAGAAGGGCAGGAAGAACGATGCACTTATAATACATCAGTGAACATGAGCACACATAATCAGAGTTTCTAAAATGCATCCTGTAGCATACATAAACCAAGCACATTCGAGAACTTGCAGAATCATCAGACATTCTGCCAACAGAGATAAAAATATGTGAAAGAATAACCTTGTAAGGTACTTATCTATGGGGCAGAAAGAAGAAGAGATGGGAGTGACTGTTCTGTTGAAACTACTCTCTTCAAGCTCACCACTGGCTTCCTAATCAAGAAGGCCCATAGACTTTCAATCATTCTTCATCTTCTTTGGTATTAAATGTGTTTAACTAGTTTTTCATATTTCAATACGTCTTCCCTCTTGAACTTTTTAAAAAAGATTTTTAAATTGCTTTAAAGTGTACAATTCAGTGGTTTTTAATATGTCCACAAATTTGTGCAATCATCACCACTAATTTCAGAATATTTTCACTGTTCGAAAAAGAAAATCTGTACCCATTAACAGTCATTTCCCAATCTCCCCTCCCCCCCAGCCCCTGTCAACTGCTAATCTACTTTGTCTCTATCAATTTGCAGATTCTTCTCCTAGATTTTTCAACACTGCCTTCTTCTGCATCTCCTCGTACCTATTTGACCTCCCCTGGCTCCTTTTTCTAGGAGCATCCATTAAATGTCTGCCATTCCCAACATCCTAAACTCAGATGTCTGAGCTGATGCTATAAGCATCATCTACCAATATGTCCACGAGGACATCATCTTATCAGGGAGGCTCCCGTGACATTGTTCATGCAGACGAAGAAAGAGAGAGGTGTTGTTGAAATGGGGAGATTAGAGATTTAAAAGACCCCGTTTTACTGGAAGGCAAATACATATTCCAGTAGTTCATACTAATGGTTTAAATCTCAGTGGACTTTGAGAAAATGTGAGAGAGAAGTAAGAGAGGAGTTGTTCGTCCCCACTTCCAAAAATAAATGTTGCCTTTCTAATTAGGTTTCTACATGCTTTGTTAGGGAGTATATTAGGAAAGGGGACAAAATAAAGCAGGGCCAAGCCCCACGTGGTCACTGTCATATGAGAGAGAGAACCGCTGTCATATGAAAAACGTGCATAAGTTCTCAAATTTGCAAATTCATCTATGACATTTGGGATTATGGGTTTGTTTTGCATTGTTTTAGCCCTTCCTTAAATTAAAGCTTCAAAATGTAAAACTCTTAAAGTTAGAAAAACCTGTTAATTAGCTAATTCATTAAACAAATTATTATTTAACTAGAAAAGAGTATGTATAGATCCATATACACGTATGTGTATACATGTATAGACAGATAGACGGACACACTTTTAATGAGTCCCTATCTTTAAAGCCCAAAGTCTGGGGGGAGGAAATAAGAGGCAACCGCAACACAGCAGGACAAGGGCATTTAGGGATGTGGGGACATAGATGAAGAGCACTGAGGGAGGCTTTCTAGGAAAAGATAGAATGTCTGGGGGAGGGAACTATACGTGGGAAGCTGAGGAGACATTGTCCTCAGAGGCAAGCTATGAGCAGCAAGGAATTGATGGAAAAGGTGAGGGTGAGGTAAAGTAGATGGGGAGAAAGCAGGAGTCCTTGTGGGCTGCAAAGAAAAAGAAGGCAGCCAGGATGGGCATGTGTGGTTAGGGGTTACCCAGAGGAGGCTTTTCAGTCCACCTTTTCCCTGAGTTTAACACCAACATCTGTAATCACCCAGATGCCTCCCCTTGACAGGCTCTAGAACCAGAAATGCAATGCGTATTCCTCCACAAAAGGATTCCTTCCTGACTTTCTGGTTCTGGCTTTACCTCCTCCCCAGTCAGTGCAATATCTCGCTGCTTCCCCTGCTGGTAACCGGGTCCTACAGGCAGCATCCCTCTGAAGGATCCTACACCACCCTGTTCTTTCCTTCTTTTCCCACTGATCTTATCCGAGGTCGGATCAGCTCTCAGCCCGACAACAGCAGGTGACTTGTAACTGTGCCCCTCAGTCTTCTCCCCTTCTCCCATCTATCCAGCACACCACTTTCAGGTGATTCTTCCTGAAGTATAGTTACCACCACCTTACACAAAACAGTGGCAGCCTTGGCCGACTGTCCAGCTCCTACAGAGTAAACTTCAGCACCTTAGCTTGGCATTACATACCCCGGGGGCCTTTCTAGATTTGTGTCTTAGCTTCCCCTAGTTATTTTCTTCCCATGACAATCTTCTCCAACTTTTTGATATGTTTAAGAAGTATTTAAATAGTAAAATTATAGGGCTGTATAAAACTAATAAAACCATAATCACTCTCAGTTGCAATGGCCATCCGCATTAACCTTTAGAAGGAATAATTCCCCACAGAGAAATTATAAAAGTTCTCCCAGAACCATGGCAACTGTGGTCTCTTCTCAATTATGTGTGATCTTTTGGTCACTTTCCCACATTCATCCAAACCTCTGGCACTGAGTTATCGTTTTCGTCTCCATCTCAAGGACTGCTATAACCTTGGGCGGTTTCAGCATTCAGGAAGATGACCCACTCAGCACCTGGCCTGCCAGTTCCCTGACCTGGTCGTTTTTGACAACAACTCCCACCTTCCCTCCTCCCCAGACCACACCCTGGACCTGGATGTAGTATTTCCATTCCAAAGCTACTCTCTGAAAACCTGTTCTCTTTAGTTTGTTCAGCTACTTCCCAAGGAACATCCTTTACAAGCATTTGCAGTCTGCTCTGTCCTCAAGCCACTCCCCAAATTAATACTAACATTTCTCCCCTGAGGGGTCTGACTCTTTTCTCTCATGCTGTCTTACTCTTTGTTTTCTCATTCCAGCCACACTGGCCTTCTCTGTCCTCTGAATGTGGCATGTTCCTTTTCACCTTCCTACCGTAAGGCCTTGCTCATGCTATTTCCTCTTCCTGAAATGATATTTCTGTCCTCTTTTCCCCAGCTTATTTTAACATTTGCCATGCCAACAAGGAAGGATCCTCCGATATAGATGACTACCCATCTTATGCTTTCATAACACCACGTAACTTTTCCTCACAGCATACACCATAGTTGCAATTTGACATTGATTTATGTAAATGTTTGATTAATATTCTTCATTGAGCGAAAGCCCTAAGGAGACAGATGCCACACCTGTTTTTACTTATCACTGTATCCCTAAAATATTGCCAGCACATAGAAGATGATTGATAAATATGTGTTGAATGAATGGACCGTGGACTCGTGAGCCTTTGTATGGACAGCAGGAAAGGCTAATTACTGGGAAGTCAAGGGTGTTTAGCCCTAGAGTATGCGGAGGGCCAAGGGATTCTGAGACGTCCAAGCAGAATGACGTATCCACATTATTCTATTTCATCCCTGAGGGAAAACTATTGAGAAGAGGCATTTGAGAAAACACAACTCCGGGTGGGAAGATGTGCTGTCATTAATTAAAAGGGGAGGCAAATATCAAGATAAATATCCCTGAAAACATACTTGCTTTTCAGCAGTATATGTACATAACATAAAGTATGATGTTCAGGGTAAACAGCAACAGCGTGATCCTTTGTCCACTTAACTGCAAGACCCCAAGGGTTACGAGCAAGGCCAGTGAATAGACAAGGACAGATTTTTGCCCAGGGATGGGCTCCTGATGACAGCAAGGAGCTCGAAGGTCTCGACCGTATTCCGGTCACCAGGGGACTTTTGTTCACAAAAGCAGAATGGCCACCCAAAGGGAAGGTTGCAGACAAGCTTCAGATGAATCATTGAATTAGATGACATACAAAATCTCTTCCAAGTATGAGGGTCAATGAGGCCGAACCAGCCATTAATAATTCAGGGCCAAGCGTGCAGAGAGTGTATGTGTGTGTGTGTGTGTGTGTGTGTGTGCGCGCGCGAGTGCGCCCACACGCGCCCAGGTGTGCATAGAATCTGCTTCTGTCACTCCAAATCTGCTTAGTTCCTCATTCATTAGGATAGATTATTAAAATTAACTTTTGTTGTAAATGGTGAAGCCGACTTACACAATTTATACAAGATTTTTAAAAATTCACTTTTGTATTTAAATTGCTTGCTAAATTTTTACATACACACACATGTGTATATATATATAACCATTCCCAAATCCAGATAGAAAACATTTCCAACACCCCAGAAAGCTACCTTGTCCCAGGTCAATATCTATCCCCTGAAGAAACTGCTATTCCCTCCGCTATTATCATAGATTAGTTTTGTCTGTCTTTCCACTTCATATACATGGACAATGTGCACTGTCTATATTTTGTTCAATATTATTCCTGCCTGATTTATCCATGTATCCATATATCCATGCTACATCCACACACAGAGCAGAAGCTCACTCTTTTTCGTTGTAGTGTTATATTCCATTGCATGAATGAATGTTCCACAATTTACCCATTCTAGGG